TATTAATAGTGGTTGCTCTTTCATTTTTATACCCGTTACTCGTAGAGTAAAAGGGTATATTGTATTCGTGCAAAAGTATGTAACAGCTAGAAGGAAGCGTTTCCGACCCTATAAAGTATATATATTCTTGATCAGGGTCACTAGCCGAGTCGATAAGCCAGTCCGCTGTCCGTCTGTCTGTCTGTCTGTCTGTCCGTATGAACGCTGAGATCTCGGAAACTATAAAACTAGAAGATTGGCATTTCTGTAGATTTTAGAAGTTCCTACGCAGCGCAAGTTTGTTTCAAAATGGGCCACGCCCTAACGCCCACAACGCTTATATACGATTTTAAAAATTTAAATATTTCGAAAAGTAAAAAGCAGTTTTATTGTGTTTATCAATACCTATCGAAATGTAGAAGAAATTTTCAAATCGGACCATTCGTTAAAAAGTTATGCGATAAAAGTTTCATCTCCATCTCCCTCGCACCCCTTTAGCGAGTAACGGGTATCTGATAGTCAGGGCACCCGACCATAGCGTTCTCTCTTGTTCGTTGTCAAAATGGCGCGCTCAGATAGCCAATCTAAGCTTACATGATATGTTGGAAATGTCAGGAAATATTTTGGATGTAAGGTCTTGAACGTTTTGACTACATTTCCTAAGCGTGCTGTTATAACTATTTTTCCACTAACTGTTGGATGGACGCCATTCCCAATTTTGAAAGAGTTTCGGCAAAAATTCCTGCAGAACTTCTCCTTTAAGTGCACTCATATTTTCGTAGCGCTAGTTGTTTATCTGGCCATAAATGAAGATTTAAACTGGCCTTTATTTCGTCAGCTCTTGACTTGGCAACAGAAGGGTTTGAAGTCTCCAGCTAACAGGACTGTAATACCACCCATCAACATATATTCTCATTAATATCTTGCAGGGTTCTATTAAGCCCACCTTTATGACATTGTCACTCATCCCAAACAATTAACTTACAATCTTAAACACCGCAGCCATATTACATTGCTTTGAAATAGACAATGAGGTTTTCTAAATTAACTAAATCAAAGGAAGTTTAAATGTAGAATAGCAGTTCGACCTCCATTGAGCAGGGTAGCAGCTATACCGGAAGATGCTACAGCTAGGGCTATTTTTTAACTCGAACTTTTGCCAACAATAAGTTTGTCAAGAAGGTTTACCTGTCCCTCAGGTGCATCCAAAAAAATTTTCACCATCTCAGCCCCAATGCTTTGTAAAATTTTATTGTATACGACTTTTGCTCGTTCGCTTAATATTAGTTTGGAGTTAGGAAATTGGGTTGTCAGGACTTTCTTATTTCTTATGATATATCAATATATCAATATATAAATATATCAATATATCAATATATAAATATATAAATATATAAATATATAAATATATAAATATATCAATATATCAATATATCAATATATCAATATATCAATATATCTATATATCAATATATCAATATATCAATATATCAATATATCAATATATCAATATATCAATATATCAATATATCAATATATCAATATATCAATATATCAATATATCAATATATCAATATATCAATATATCAATATATCAATATATCAATATATCAATATATCAATATATCAATATATCAATATATCAATATATCAATATATCAATATATCAATATATCAATATATCAATATATCAATATATCAATATATCAATATATCAATATATCAATATATCAATATATCAATATATCAATATATCAATATATCAATATATCAATATATCAATATATCAATATATCAATATATCAATATATCAATATATCAATATATCAATATATCAATATATCAATATATCAATATATCAATATATCAATATATCAATATATCAATATATCAATATATCAATATATCAATATATCAATATATCAATATATCAATATATCAATATATCAATATATCAATATATCAATATATCAATATATCAATATATCAATATATCAATATATCAATATATCAATATATCAATATATCAATATATCAATATATCAATATATCAATATATCAATATATCAATATATCAATATATCAATATATCAATATATCAATATATCAATATATCAATATATCAATATATCAATATATCAATATATCAATATATCAATATATCAATATATCAATATATCAATATATCAATATATCAATATATCAATATATCAATATATCAATATATCAATATATCGATATATCAATATATCAATATATCAATATATCAATATATCAATATATCAATATATCAGTTATATCCAGTTATCCTGGATTAACTGGATATAACTGGATATAACTGGATATAACTGGATATAACTGGATATAACTGATATATTGATATATTGATATATCATAAGAAATAAGAAAGTCCTGACAACCCAATTTCCTAACTCCAAACTAATATTAAGCGAACGAGCAAAAAGTCGTATACAATACAATTTTACAAAGCATTGGGGCTGAGATGGGTGAAATATTTTTTTTGGATGCACCTGGAGGGACAGGTAAAACCTTCTTGACAAACTTATTGTTGGCAAAAGTTCGAAGTTAAAAAAATAGCCCTAGCTGTAGCATCTTCGGTATAGCTGCTACCCTGCTCAATGGAGGTCGAACTGCTCATTCTACATTTAAACTTCCTTTGGATTTAGTTAATTTAGAAACACCTCATTGCTCTATTTCAAAGCAATGTAATATGGCTGCGGTGTTTAAAGATTGTAAGTTAATTGTTTGGGATGAGTGCACAATGTCACATAAAGGTGGGCTTAAATAGAACCCTGCAAGATATTAATGAGAATACTATGTTGATGGGTGGTATTACAGTCCTGCTAGCTGGAGACTTTCGCCAAACCCTTCCTGTTGTGCCAAGAGGTACAAGAGCTGACGAAATAAAGGCCAGTTTAAAATCTTCATTTTTATGGCCACAGATAAACAAACTAGCGCTCACGAAAAATATGCGAGTGCACTTAAAAGGAGACAGTTCTGCAGGAATTTTTGCCGAAACTCTTTCAAAAATTGGGAATGGCGTCCATCCAACAGTTATATCCAGTTATATCCAGTTATATCCAGTTATATCCAGTTATATAACTGGATATAACTGGATATAACTGGATATATTGATATATTTGATATATATAACAACCTTTGTAGAAGATCCTTCAAGAGAGAGAATCAGAAGGATACTGGCAGAGCTATATAATAAATGAAAGTGATCCAAGTAAAAGCCGTGAGCTTGTATACTTTTTATCAGTTACAATGTTATCAATGCAATTTTAATTTGCGCACAAATATGTATACTTGTTTGCAAATTGGAATTTGTTATTTTCAAATTTCTTGTTTTGAATGAAACGAAAACCTTTGTACACACAGTAAAAGATTGGCATCCAATACAAAAACAGCAAAGTAACGTATTATTTTCTGATTCCACATTTGATCGATAAACGGGTATAATAAATCATTTTATTTGTATTTAAGCACATTATCTACTTTTGAATAGAAACATACACACACATTGTATGTATGTACATGTATTGTACATATAAGCAAATCAAAACATTTCCAAATATACATATGTACATACGTATTTGGTCAAAAGTTCGAATCTTAAGATTAATGGAATACTGTGAAAAAATTTGGCTGCTCTTGCTCTTACGGTTTGGGCTGTGCCCGTATCCCCTTAAAAATCGGTCTTTCATTTTATAATCTTTAGGGATAGATTAATTATATTAAAAATCGATCGCTGCAATCACTGGCTAACAACCCTGTCATTATTGGGTTAATGCTCGGATTGCTTTTGTTTTGTAACAATTTTGTTGCCCAAGGACCTGAAAAACTTTATTTACAGCTTTAGCATTGATTTGTGTTTGGTGGGGTACGCCCTCATCCCTCAATTACTCCAACTTCCACCCACTTCCATTTGCCAATTGTATTATTTTATTTTCCTAAGCTGTGTCTTTCGGATATCTTTGTATCTGGGGCTCAAGTCGCTAAATGAACGCTTGCAGGCCAATTTTGGAAGTGGACAACATCCACCGCCTTTTGCCAAGAAATTTGCATACGAATATGGCCCACAAGTGTTTTTCGCGACTAATTTCGTATGAAAATTTGATTGCGCCGCGATTAGAATCGTGTTCATTGTTTATATTTCCCAGCTGCCCGGGAGTCGCTGGCCAAAGCTCTGAAATTAAGTAATATTTTACATATGTAATTATTATAATTTCCCCGAGTCCCGCCAACCTCTCCACCCCGCTGTTATTATGTAGTTAGCTGTCTGCGGGTTACAGTTGCTTTTAATTGCCGTTTACAGTTTCGTTTTGTTTACTGTGCAGTGGGTGCGATATGCGATATGAGATATGAGGCTGTGATATGGCCACTGCACTCAGCTGAGGTTCTACGAGAGTTAATTATGCTAATGCAGGAGGAGAATGGAGGGGTCACGGAGGTTAAGATAGAGGCTTCTTTCATCACCGAAAGTGTGGGGCAACATCTGATAAGCCGCAGAGTTGTTATATCCAAAGAAGGTAGACAACTATTTGACTCAGGGGATACATTTCTTAAGAAAATATATAAGGAAGTGTTGCAATATTAATAATATTCATAAGGAATTTATGATGTTTTATGCTTCGTTTTTGTATATATTGTACATTTAATGCCTCTTTCTAAATTCAAACCTTAAAATGCACATGGTAGCAACCCATGAGATCCGTTTAATTCAAAAGATGGTGCAAATAAATGCTTGTAGGAAATGAATCCAGTGCAATTCGCTTTCATCTTTTAATGGCTTGCCTATAGTAATAATACCCATCATTAGTAGAAGGAAAATGAGAAACGAATAACTGTAGCTCGGCTAATTATGCTGCCCCATGCAGTGGCCCCTCTCTAATCATAATCATCATTTCATCTCGGCCCACTTGTTTTTCCTCCTAATTTGTTTGATTTCCTTATGACTAATGTGCAAATTTCCCTCCTCTCTTGTTTCGTTTCAGTGGAATTAATTTGGATACGTGAAACCGACATTTTATTAAAATAACGAAACAGGTATTTGCATAAAAACGAACGGAAATCGAAAGGAACGCCCTGAAGGTCATTGTCAGAGAGCGGAACGCCGGCAACGGAACGGAAAACAATGGAAATGAGAGGAAGCCTGGCAGACATGCAAATTTCGGGTGACTTTTGAGGGGTTTGATTTACATAACTTGCTCTCTAAATAAGTAGCATGCTCCCCAAATGCACACATGAAAACTAAAGCCAAATAGTTGGAGAACAATGGAAATGCAACAGGAAAATGAAACGGGGGAGAAAGGGGAACCCCGAAATCAGAGAAAGAAGCAGCGATGATAAGCAACCAAGAGACTGAAAAAGCGGCCATGATGAAGGGTGGAAACGAAGGATCAGTAAGGGAATTGGAGTCCCCGAACGAAGCCACCACCCGAAGTCAAGAAAACACAACGAAAACCATAAAATTGGATGGCATATTCGCCGTACCAGCCACGCCCCCAAATAAGGCGGACCTAACCACCAAGTCGGCCAGCAGTAGCCGCAGTAGTTCGCTCAAAAAGCAGCGACGTGGATCAAGAGGAAAAACAAATTTGAATGTGACGAAAACGGAAAGTGGAGTTCCCAAGAGCTCCACTAGCGGCGGTCAACTGAACTTTGGAGCCAACAGTGTTGGAAACGACTCAATGAAGCAGTCGCAGTCCATGACGTCACTGCAGGCCTCGAACGAAGAGCAGCAGGAGCGTCGTGACGTCATCCAGGCCAAGCTGCATTTGGAACGGCCCTACAACAGCCTCAAGGTGAGTGATCCCAAAAATGGTCATTTTTTTGGGGGGAAGAGAGAAAGAGAGAGAGAATACAGGTATCTGGTAATATTATGACTACATACATTCATTGTGTGTGCGCATAAATTGGCGATCGATCATAAGCCGGTTAAGGTAGTACCCTTTCTTAGGATAGGATATATTAAAACAGTCACTAAACTTACCACAATTTGTTTTGTGTAGGTCAAATAAAGGGAATGTAAATGCAGTTCTGGTTTAACCTTGCTTTGAATCTAAAGAAGAGTTTGGGGTCACCAATCAAAAAAGTTTACCAGTGCAGCCATCTTTTTAGGATAGGAAATAATAAAATAGTCTCAAAACTTATTACAATTTTGTTGTGTAGGTCAAATAAAGGGATTTACATTGCCTTTAAGTTGTGGTTTAAGCTTTGAATTTAAAGAAGAGTTTGGGGTCACCAATCAGTTAAAGTTTAGCACTGCGGCAATGTTTTAGCTAGGGTATTTACAATTTAGCTTTTATTTTCGCAATGCACTCCTCCATCTTCCCGAACCTGTTGCACTTTTAGCCTTCGTTCCACACGCTAACGAGTTTGGTCTTCTAAAATGACAAGCGGCCGTTAGAATTTTCTGCTTTGTTCTTGTTCATGCTCCCCTAATGGTGTGTCTCAGTGTGTGTCTGTGTCAACGGAAATTGCTTTAATAAATTATTAATAAATTTCCCGATTAGCATGCCTTTATGAAACCGAGTTTCAACGGTTAAATGTGCAACTAAGTTGGCGCCAGTGGCCATGAACACAAATTGCTAATTTATGCTGCAAACAGGAAAGTAAAACATTTTTCAATTCCTCTTTTACACAGGCGGAAAATTATCCTATTGCTCAGGAAGGTGCATTGAATTTGTTTTGAAAAATAATTTAGCTAACGTAAATTTACTATAAAAATAAAATCAGTTCAAATGTTCGCAAATTTGCAGTGATTAATCTAATATGTTTGTAAATAATGCTCCAGATAAGATCTTAGTGTCATAAGCGGTGTGTTTTATATTTTTAGTTTTTATTAACGGGAGAGGGCGTGTCAAAATCGTTAAAAAAAACATGTTATCAGCGTGGGCCTAACACAAAATCTGCATACCAAGTAGTTTTGCCCCAGTTCTCACAGTTTCCGAGATATATTCACTTTATTCCTCGATAAAAATCTGTTGAATTTTACAAGACCAAGACCACAGATCTATTTTTTCAAGGCCTCCAGGTGTCACAGCTTGCATATTTTACAGCTTATTTGGCGGCAGACTTTTCTTAGTCACTGTGGGCGAGTTTTTGCCCGAAATGCGAGTCACTCGGCGTTAAATGCCGCCCCACACCTCTTTTTCTTGCTCACTGCTGCTGCTCATTCATTTAATCAATTCCCCAAATCAGCCGAAACAGCAGCCAGTCATTCCATCAATAACAGAAAAGCACACACCATTTCATTTACGATTTTCAATTTCGTTTGCTTTTGGGATGACGATTGCATTGCGATTGTGTAAATAAGGAATTTCCTTCCACGATTTCAGCCTGAGCTGGGGACTTTCTTGGACAAATGAGCAAAATGCATTAATTAATTGCGCGCGCTTTGCAATTTGGAGTGAATAAAAACCGGTTTTCAGAGCGGCCTAGAGCCGGGAATCTGAATCGCCGGCTCCCAAGATGGCCAAAGCATATTGTTTCGGCCGTATTTGGCACGCCTCAAATTACTTATTTATTAACAACTTTTAGCGGTTTCCCCCTTCCTTTTTCCCATATTTATTTTTTTCGCTTTTGTTTGGTCATTGCCACTTCAGTGGCTTTATTTTTGAGGTGCTTTAAATCAATCAACATTTGTCAACATTTATTTGTGTGTATAATGTGTTTTTTTTTACCCTTGCAAGAGAGTATTCTAATTATAGTCACAAGATTGCAGATGTTTTAATTTAATTTTAGTTTGTAACGTTGTAAAGGAGACATTAAGTATATACATTTTTGATCAGCAACATTAGAAGAGTTAATTTAGCCATGTCTGTATTGTTCATTTGTTATAATTAGTTTACAATACATTATGTTTTATTACCATACAAGGACCATACAAATATTATATTTTTAACACATTATATGTTTGTTTTTTTAATGAAATATCTGCGAGGTTTTAGGTAAGCTTGATACTCAAGTAATGACTTGGACAAGTAAAAACATTACAAAATATTTTCATACTTAAAACATAAGATAGACATCTAACATTCTTTAAAAATTTTGCTAAATTTAAAAATATTTTAAAATTTCAGAAAAATTCCCATAGCAATAAAATGCACCGTTATTCGTGGGGAAGCGGAAACAGTCAGTGTAGTTCCACCAGTCTCCATAGCAGCGCCACCTTGGGCCTGGGTTCCTCTGGCAAAGACGATCTCTGGGCGGCCATTCAAACGAACTACAACTATATCATGGACACGAACCTTTTGGATACTTGCAAGGAGGCGCGCTGTGAGATAGAGGGCGCCTCCACTGTTTTGGAAAAGTCGAGCGAATGCTGTTTTAAGGTGAGTGCGCCGCGACCTCTGTCTTTCAGACTTTAAATGCATAATTTGTATTAAATTATGAATTTAATTTGTTCCTCTTATAACTAAATCATTTTTAAATAAAAAAAACAGATGCTTGATGAGACCCAACGACCTGAAGGTCTCTGCGAGGATCCCAAGGAGTTGCGGCGGTGGCTGCGCGAAATGGAGAGTAAATTGGAGAGTTCGCCGACAATCACGGAACTGACTTTGTTTGGCAACGCGGAATTGCAGCGCCATCTAGCAGTACACTCGGTAAGTTAAGAGTTGTTCTTTTGTTAAGTTTTTTAAAGGATTGCCTACTTTTCTGCGCAATTTTTTCCATTTCAACGAAGGGAAAATTTTTATTTAAATGCACGCATGCACAGCTCATTGTGCAAACTTATTAGCTTTTTCCTCTTTCAGTCAATATCTTTTTCTCTAAGTCAATAATCGTTCCATTCATGTGTGTATTAAACTACACTTATATATGTAAGGCAAAAAAATAAGTTTAAATAGCTTTTAGGGCGTATTTTATCAGTGTAACTTTCCAAAATTTTAACTTTCTTATGCACATTAAATTATTATCTTTTTAACATAAAATATATTTGACATAACCACCCAAAAATATAATTATAGCGGCAGGTAAAAGTGTAACAAAACATGAAAAATGCAATTTTACGCATTTTATTATATGGTTTTTCTTTGGCCCCAATGACTTGGGTTTTTTGCCCCTTTTCCTCTGTTTTGTGTGAGTTTCCCCCCCCAGCGGCTTCCGTTTGTGCGTCTCGAAATTGTGCAACTAGTTTTGGATCCCAAGCCAGGAAAAAAGGCCGAATCCGTCAGTCATTCTCATTGTCCCCGCCGCCTGCTCAAATCCCCTCAATCCCCCAATTACAATACTTCCCCTCGATAATCAAGACAACAATGTTCCCTTGTTTTCTTCGCTCTTTTTTTCATTTTTGTTACGAAAATTTATTGAGCTGAAAGTGAAAATTGCTGCGAGGGAGAGGAAAGGGGTCTTGAGATAACCTCCTCGAACCACTGGTTGATAATTGGCATTTGGACGTTTGTAACACCTTCAATCGAGAGTGAATTCGACGTCTCTGAATTGCCCACAGATTTGTTTGCTGCACTTTTCGGTTTTCTTTTTCGAATTTCTTTGATTTAGGGGGATTTTTATCTGAACAATATTGTCTATAAACAAGGCTCTGGGCTCCCCATATTATGTAATTGTGTGTGAGTCGGGAAAATCTAAGACGGAAGAGAGTCTCAAGCTTTGGTCTCCGCCTTTGGCTTTGATTTGTGTCGGTTTCAATTGAGCTTTGACCGTGACAGAAGTGAGGAGTAGTATTGCATAAGAATCGGTGTGAAATGGAGATCAAATGGAAAGACATTTTTATTTATTGGCGAAATTCTATCCATGTAATCTATACGAAAAATGTTTTGTTTGTTTATTTATATGCTTATTATGTCCTGTATTAAAACCTTCCTCATTGCTTTCGTTAAAAGTCAACAAAAAAGTACTTTCGTTACCCATTTTCTTGACCCATTCAGGAATTGTTACTTTTTTATTTTTCGGCTAATTGAAAATTCCTTTTAAGCTTTTTTCAATGGAATTCCACCAACACATTCGCTCTTCCTCCTTGCCAAACCCAAACCGAAACCGAAACCAAACGCAGCCGGCCACGAGCCAAATGAAAGTAAACAAAAATCAATAGACCAGACGAAGCACTAAAAAAGTTGAGTTTGTATTGTGGGCAGTTAGCCGAAAAATGCTGAAGACAAAAACCCAGCTCGCTAAACTCCGGCTGGCTGCCCCTGATTTACGACAATTGTTTTGTCACGTTGTCGATGGGAGAAAGAGAGCCTCACAGAGCTGGAGAGCTTTGGAGTTAGGCAGTATCGAGCGACGACGGCAGCACCAAATGTCAATTGCCCAAAATGGTTAAACATATTTCCAATAAGTTGTTAGGCGTTTGTCTCTGTCAATTGTTTGTGGCTGCAGTTGTTGCTTCTGCAGTTCCCGGGGGCGGAGACACGCATTCAGTGTCCAAATCCGAACTGTTAACTAGAGTTCCAATTCCACAAACCGATCAAGCCCCACAAACGCAATCAAGCCCCAGAGCTACCCGAAGACCAAATGGAAAGGCAGTCGGGTAGATGGAGATCGAGTTTGGGTTCGGAATTGAGATTGAGAGATGATCGCCGTGAAGCAAAAACCAAAATTTGTCAGCTGCCGGACAATGTCGATGGCCATAACGAGCTGAGATCTCTGCTGCAGTTCCCCAAGGAGCCGACTGCAATCTCCTTTTTAATTGAAAGCCAGCCCAAAACAAAGCGAAGCCCAGTGAGAATAACGCTATGGATTTGGCCGAAAGTCGAAATTTATTTGTATTATGTGGGAATTAGTTGTGGGAAAAAGTTTGGTGAGGATGTATAAACTATAACTCAATAAATCTCTGTATATTAAAACAAGCTCAATCAAGTCTTTTTTAAGTTCTTCTTTTTAAATGGTCTTTAAGTTTGAATATTAAATATTTCAACTTCAAATGTTCCACATTATCTAAGTTTCTCAAGTATTATTTTGGAATATTTGTAGTTCTCCTTAACGGGAGACTTGCACTTTCTTATGTAACTTGCAAATAAAAATGTAAATGTAATCAGGCTGTTCGATGTTTGTCTCTGCCGATAAGATCTTTTACAAGTGTTTGCTTTTAGGGGTTTCTCTTAACCCCTCACCACCTCCCGGCAACAATGGGTTAAGCATTCGCTGTTCTGGTCAAATGAAGCGTAAACAATCATGTTCCCTGTCGCCTGCGACGACAGGATGTCTTTGTTTTCCAACCAACTGGGGCCACCAAAAATGGTCAAGACAAGCAGCAGCGTGGCAAAAGCGAGAAAATAAGTTGGTTTTCCCAGACTTCCTTGGAAAAGCCGCAGGAAAAGTGAAGGTGGCGCAATTTAGACTCTAACGGCGCGATTAGCTAAGAGCTGCGACCATATAATCGCATTGACAATTTCGATTTCGTGTGCGGGAGTCGAGGAAGTGCTCCACTTTATGGCAGTCATAATTTCATGTTTCGCCTCGATAGGATTTCGAATTTCAAATTTTGAATTTCGATTTGGTTCGCCGCCTGGCCGCCTGTGCTTGTCCGATTCTATCGAATGGGTGTCCATTGTGTTCGCGGCAATCTCCCTCCGCCAGATTTGCATAACAATTGCTGGCTGTAACCTTTCGCCCAATAAGTTAGCCCCAGTCTGGACTCGAAGTCCGACTTGCGGGCAGACCATATGGCCAGCTGCAGTTGCTGGGCGGCAATAAAGCATTTACCACCGAATTAGCCCAGTCGGCGAGTAGTTAGCCCAAGTCCGAGTCCCACTTGAAATTCAGCTACGGTTGCAGACTAGTTCGTTTGTTTCGGTTATAGTTCAACTTTCGCGTTAAGTGAACCTTTAAATAAACTTTCCATTTTATTTGCCATCGTTTAGTCGAACTTGAGCCTAACTGAATTGTAATTGCGGCCATGTGCAGTCACTTAGCAGTTGGGGTGTTGATAAAAGGTCATGGGGGAATAAATCGAAATGCATTGAAAAGTGCCTTGGGGAATATGTTAATATTATGTAAATATTTTTAAGGGAGTTATACAGGAAATATCAACATTTAGGAAAGAAATCAAGAAAAGAAAAGCGGTAAAACTCAAGGTAAATAACTAATTTAACAGAACTGAGAATAAGATAAATCTATCATGGAAATTCGGTTTATTTAGTGCAATCATAACCGCTGAACCTTAAATAGAGAGAGGAAAATTTAATTAAATTTTCCTAATTTAATGGTGCTATTAAAGTACAAAAGTCTTACCAAAGTATACCCTCATTGTAATACTTGAAAATGTTCGGCTAACAAGCATTTAACAAAATCTCCCACTCCACTTCAATCAAACTCCACAAATGCAAAGGCAATCCAATCTCCTCTTATCGTTAACAATCGGATCAGAAAACCTTTCTCTCCTCCTTCAAACCGAAACACGCCCAATTTCATAAGAGAATAACACACGGGAAAGAGATGGAAGAGGGTCTCTCAAGTTCAATTGAGTTTCACTTTTCTTCGTGATTTAAATTAACAATTAAAGCGGATAATTAACAAAATGAAAACAAAAGCAAACCAACACCAACACCAAATCGAAGGCAACTCCCCCCGAGCGAGCCAAAGAAAAATATTATTACAAACCGGCGGTTAATTTATCAAACGAACTGCGGATCTTGGGCAGCCGCTCGATGGCGATAAAGTCATTACCACAGACAACAAACCACACAAAAGACAGGCCCAGAAAAAAACTATTAAAAACAGAGACTACGTCACATGTGAAGCGGATCAAATGATTTCGTCATAATCGAGCAGCAAATTACTATTTTTCCCCTCTAATAGAGAAATAAAACTGCCAAACTCTGGGCGAGAAATTTGTTTTAAGCTGTAAAGGAAGTGGAACTGGAATGGTAGCAGCCTGAATTGAAACCGAAACTGAAACAGAAATGAAATGTGGGGAAAATTAAGAAGAAAAGGCTAACAATAAATCTTTTGGCAATAGGAAAAAACAAAAGCAGCCACAAAAAGGCCCCAAAAGCATGATCACAAAATTGACTTTCGAACACAATTTATTTTTATATTTTCTCTGTTTATTTCTTTCGTTTTCCGAACCGCTACAGAGTTTTTCTAGCCAGCGATTTAATAACCCGAATAAAGCCGAAATGAAAAACAATGAAAAATTCATGTACGATCCATTCAGGTTCATCATTAACACGAAGATCGAACCGCAACCGGGGGAAAAGGGAAAGGCGGTCGAAGTCTGTGACTCGAAGGCTTTGTCGCCACTTTAATTGGCTCAAATTAAAGACGAACTGGGATTGGGTTTTACAAACCCAGGAGGAAGGGGAGGAAGATGCAGCTGCTGCTGAAGCTCAGAGGCGTTACTCCATTCCGCTGATTAATGAAGAAATTTTCTCTGCAAGCTTGCCACCTTGTTAACGACTTTATGTGTGACTATTCGCAAATAACAAAATGAGCGTTGTGAAAATTAAACTTAACAAAGTGTCCCATAAAATGATCAGTAAACCATGAAAACAGCTTTGGTGCGCGGAGCAATAAAATAATACAAGGTGGTGTAAAATGTTGAAAATGGAAAGTGCTGGCCATAACAGGGAGTTTAGCCAATAGGTTGCTCATTTTACCAGAAACATTTCCTTTGGATACGGTAGTACTTCATATATCGTTTGCAAAGTCCTTTAGGCTTAAAACGTTGTTATGCCTAGACTTTTATGCAAGTTTCAGTGATTTATTAAAAATATTTATAGCCTGTCTTTATTGGTTTGGCTGTACTTAATGAGAATTGCATAAGAAGGCTTCAAGAAAGTTTTTTATAACTCCTAAATAAAATCGATTTCTGTGAGTTGTTTTAAACTTTTTTTAAATTAAATACACACGAGGTTTTCCTGTTAATTTAGTTTATTCATTCCGGGTCGATATCATTGGTGCTTTTTCTCAAATCTAACCGTGGTAGATCTGGTGTCCGTAGGTGGGGACGGCATAGGAATTCAGAACGGGGACATGCTGAACCACTGGGACATGCTTCACGACGGGAACATGGTGCACCACTGGAACCTGCTTCACCACCGGAATGTGCTTCACCACGGGCACCACATGAGCCACAGGAACCACTCCGTAAGAGGGCTCAATGTAACCAGGAGCAGCAAAGGCCATCGCGAACAGAGCAAAGATCACAGCGATCTAAGGAGAATGTATTAATACTTAAAAGCTCGGAGGATATATTTGTAGTCCTGAAACTTACAATGCGGAACATCTTGAAATATTCTTTTAAAAATCAAACTTTAACTTGTTAGATATCACACTTGTGTTTAAGTCGGACGACTGTTGTTGAATGACCATTCGGTGGCATCATTATTTATAGTAGTTAACACCCCAGCCGAAAATAGCCGCCAAAAGACTTCTGTTCGAGCGCCACGCGCCAAACCAGTTTAATTATATCCAATTTTTTTTTGGGTATCTCAGATAATGCGCATTCTATTTTGTTTCATCTCCAGCGGCGAACTTCCCGCTATCGGTCGTTATTGTTCAACCTTTGGACATAATCCCCATTCAATAACTCCTCAATTGTGTGTAGTCTTTAGATTCGTTGCCTATTATTGTTTACTTCCCAAGATTATTGTCATAATATCGATCGTCTTCACGCGCTTGTGATGATCGCCAAGAACCAAGGTCAAGACCACAAATTAAACCTATATGAGGACGCCTCTGGGTCAACTGATAAATCCATTCTCTCAATTATACCAAAGAATTATATGAATTCGTGGCTAAACACGTTTGCTCGTTCAGAAGTCATTACTACCATGGTTTTTGGCTATATAAAGCAACTGGTGCGTTGGTCAATCATCAACAGTCGTCCGACAAGCACCCAAGTGACAATATCTCAAAGTTTAAGTTTACAATTCAATACAACAAATCAAAATGTTCCGCATTGTAAGTAAAAGGAAATTGAAGACATCCTTTGATCTGCATTACATTACTATTTTCTGTTTAGATCGCTGTGATCTTTGCCCTGTTCGCGATGACTTTTGCTGCTCCTGGTTACATTGAGCCCTCTTACGGAGTGGTTCCTGTGGCTCATGTGGTTCCCGTGGCTCATGTGGTGCCCGTGGTGAAGCACATTCCGGTGGTGAAGCAGGTCCCGGTGGTGCACCATGTTCCGGTCGTGAAACATGTCCCCGTGGTTCAGCATGTCCCCGTTCTGAAGTCCTACGGTGTGTCCACCTACGGACACCAGATCTACCACGGTTAGGTCTATGAAAAACCATTATTGATATCAACTCGGCATGAATAAACTACTTACCAAATTACAAAGAATATTTCATATGTTTTCTATTTTTATTGGCTTTTAATATGTTCAATATTTTTTTTAGTTTTATCGTGGCATATCTAGTCTTTTGTTTAAAAAATAGCGTTCAAGAAATCAATCGCAAGCCCTTCTATGCGCTTCTCATCCAGCAAACCTACGGTCGCTCAAAGTCACGTCATTTCCAATAACCCCAGATTTATGGATGTCCCAGATGTAATGCATTATTTCGCATGTTTCTTTCTCCCAAAACCCATTAAGTTCTGCTATAAAATTAGCTTTCGACTCTAGCGATTGGAAATTCTTCACGCAATCCGCAAATGCGCCAGAATCTGGCACACAAATGTGTTTTCCTTTGATTTCTTTTTGCGTTAGGGGCTTGTAGTTTATTTGGTACGGATCGAGTGATAAAAGCCAAATGTGCGCTTCGTTCCAGGCACCCGAAAGACACTGAGATTCAGCCGTTGCGTGGAACACATTTGGCAGGCTGTTCGGAATTGACTCTTTGGACTTACTGAAGGTGATTAATGAATGCGGAGGGGGAGTGGAGTGGAGTTGGGAGGAGACGAGTTGAGTTGAGTTGAGAGTATCCATAAGATAGATTTTAAACGGTAGTTAAAATCTGCCCAACACGCGAGAGAAAGAGCTGGCAGAGTTGCTGAGTGAAATGTTTGCCGTTGGCATTGAAAAACTTCTATAAAATGGGAAGGGGGAGGCTTTCCCAGTTGACCCACATTTGGCAGACAGAAATATTTATTTGCTTGGCTGGCTGGGCTCTCCGAGAATTGTTAAAAGCAATTTAGTAGCTCTTCTGTGGCTAAGTGTATTTTATTGTTTGCCAATTGCTGTTGTTGTCTTGTTAACGCTTTTTATAGCCGTCTTTTGCTTTTCGGCCAACTCTATTTGTCGACTCTTTCTCCCGGTCCGCGGCTGCTCTATGCAGATGTATCTCTCAGATACATTCATTAACTTGTTTGCAGTTACAGTTCCCCTGTTCCCCTGTTTCCCCTCGCAGGTGATTTATGCTTTGTCCAGCTTTTGTTCGTATATTTAGACATTTCCTATGTGTTGTCACCTCAATTTTTTCCTGCACTTGCTCAACTTTTTTGTATTTCTTTACTTTTTGACTAATTAAAATAACCAGGTAATTGTGCAGTTATGAGGAGTGTCTCGAAACGGGGAAAGGTGGAAGACTGTGTGAACACGCAGACCTCAAATCTCGTTATGACTATGAATATGCATGCGCCTTGATGAGATCTGCTCTTCTCTCTATTTTGTAAAGAAGTTGAAGGCGTGCCCAGGCAATTAGTTTGGAGCTGGGCCCTTCGATAGTTAGAAGCCTCGAGGGCTATTTTGGCACGTTGTCAGAAGGTGGAATGCAGGGGAGGACAAACGGCTTCAATCAGGCGATGACTTGGGGGGAAAACTTGTTCTCCACACCCAGAACCCGGTGAATGGAGCTGGGTTCTCTATTCCAGATCGGCTCATAAATAGAATAACTTACAGGCCGCTTGTGTCTTTAATAGTTCTCACTTTAATAGAAGTCGAACGTGTTGGCCAGTTCGTTAAGATCATCCTTTTCAGAGGCATGTTTACAGTATTATAAATAGTAAAAGCACATTCATAAAGACTCGACTTTATTTTTATTCAGGTTGATAAAAACTCCACATTTAATGAATGGGTTTTAAATATTTGAATGAGAACGTTAAAGTTTTAGAGTAAAACTATTATTAAATGCATTTGAAATCATTTGAGATAATGTTTATGTCGTTAGTTAAGTCTTGCAGTGAAGTGCACAAACGTAAAGTTTAAAATTTATCTTTTCTGTTCTATTACATACATATTGGTTTATGTCTTTAGCACTTAAACGAATTTAGTTCTTTTCTAGTTTTATATTAAATCTATGAGCTTGACTCTCCCCTGATGGAATTTCCTCCTGGTTCTTTCTCTCCCGCAAAATTCGTGATTGTTTTACCAATCTTTCTCTATACACACACTTCTGCGATCTTCGAGAGCACTCTCGTCTGGCAAACTTGGCTTGGCCGATGTCATCCATCTGCTTCGTGTTTGTGGTGCAGCCAACAAATAACAAATAAGGGAAAAACTTGTCAGCTTCGCACACGTTTCCTTCTTCTGGCATTGGATGGCTTCTTGGAAAAGCGGGGCCGGCGCAAGAATCTCTTCTATTTCCTTGGGAAATATCTCTGGCATTCGAGTGCGTTGTCTTTGATTCTGATATCGCGCTGGGGATTCTGGCCGCTCTCGTTTCGAAGAGATGGCATCTTTTAAAATGGCAGTGGTTGCTCTGTGATCCACTTTGTGCAACAGTTTTGAGTGCGAGGCGCGTGCGAAGACCACAAATCGATGCAGGAAATCCGATTTGTGGTAAAAGTTTTTCTCTTTTTTTCCCCCAGTTTGCCTCATCTGAGTTTTGCTTTACTTCGGCAAGTTGCCGTTTAAAGTTGTTGCACTAAGTAGAAATATGTGCAAAACGGTGGTTGTGGGGCTTCTGGGAAATCAAAGCCGGTGGTCTCGAAACGCGGAAGAGTGGGGTCTTGGGTGGGCGAGAGGTGCCAGGTGTTAAGGGTTGCCGGGGGTTAATAGTCGTTAAACGCCAGCGGGGGTCAGTGGCTTACCAGGGTCTAAGGATATTTGAGATGGGGAGTTTGGTCGGATTAGGAAGCGTAAATGGAGAAGACAAGCCATTAGATTAAAAAGTAATATTGCAAGCTCAATTTATAGCTCATATGGTTACCTTATTTAAAAATACAATTACTTTAAACGTTTAAATCTCCAATTATAACTTGAAATGTGAGAAGTTTTCATTTAAAATCAATCATGCTTCACTGAACATTAAAAAATAACATGTCGGTGGATGCAGAATATTAAACATAAAGTTCATCTGCATAGAGATCATCCTTACTGCTTATTGTCGAAGATTTTGCTTTACTTTTATAGCCACATCGTCAAATAAAAATTCATTGCAGTCTAGTCTGTTGCCCACTTAATAAAATTTATATCTTTATTCAAACTGCATTAACAAATAAATGAGAAAGTAAGGATATTCGAAACGAGGCTTACTGAAGAGTCTTGCAATTGAGATTTCTTTTCCCCCTGAACAAAGAAATCTTCTATGAGTTTGGCTCTTTCTTTCATCCGTTGCCTTTCTTCTCAGCTATGACTATCATCATTAAGGCAAATCCGCAGAGCCTCTAAGACAATCTGATCGATTTATGCAAATGATCCTCTAATCTTCGAGCGTTTCCTCCCGTGCCCCGCTGCCATCACGAAGAATAACAATTCGTCATTATGGCAAACAAAGATCGAAGACCAGTTTTCACCTCCATCTAATGATGTTTACCTCATTTATCCTGATCCGCAGTGATCCGCTTGTAATCAATCCCCATCCCAGCCAGGGGCAAGTTCAAGTTGCCAAGTTCTCCAAAGCGATCTCCACGGTTCCTTTACGATCTCGAGTTTCATCCTTTCCACTCCACCTGGCCTGAGTGGGTGGCTCGACATAATGGGGGGATCTGCCGTTATTCGGCTCTATCCCGACCATAACCACAGCTGCAAATAAAATAAGAGTCGACTTCAACACTCGACTTGGCTTAATGCAAAGTGCCGCTGAAGAGAGGTGCGTGGGTGGGCCCACATGGGAAGACAACTGGGTCTGCGACTGAGACTCCAGGTACACTGAGATTCCATTTCTATTCACTCTAAAAAAAAATTAATAAAAAGTATTTTATCTCTCTTATTTTCAAGGTAGCTAACAATAAAAAATTAAATATATGTTATATTAAAACCATAAAGGAACCGATTGCTGTCGCGAATTCTTGAGCAAAAACAAAGTTACTCCATAACCAACATCATCAAAGCTTCAAAGCATTTACACTTTTCTTCTTTCTACATTTTAAATACGAAATTCCCCTAAAACCAGCTAGAATTAGTTTTCAGTGAGTGCCTGTGCTTCATTAACACTCACTGCTCGTTTGCCTGGGTCTTTCTTTTTGTTTGCCGCAGTTTTTGACACCAAACTTGGCGTCACTTCAAAGCCCTGGCGATTAATCTTGAGTGCTGGTGGGGAAGGAGTGTGGCTTCGCAGCCCGATCTTCCAGATCCGGTCGTGTCTGCAATTTGCGGGCATTTTGTTTTGCATTATCCAAGATTCTGTGCTGGCAAACAACAAGCAACTCATTTGCCACTTTTCACACCCTTGAAGCGAGCGGAGTTTTCACTTCTCTTTGGGTGAGCTTTAGCGGCAAATGGAGGAGCCGCCTCATAAATCATCGCCCAGGCCACCGGTGGGCGTCGTCCAACGTCCATTATTAGAAGTGTGCGCAGGCGCAGCTGGTCCCCCTCTGTTTCCCATGCGCTCTCTATTTCCACCCAACTCATTGTCAGCTGCAAAAGTGCCAAAGAATTGTACAAACTTCACGGGTGATTTGGGGGATTTGGCCAGCCATATATATATATTGTTTGCCAGATTGCCCACCGATTGTGGAGCACTGGGTCAAGTCAGTCAGTCATTGAGTCAGTGAGTCGGTGAATTGAAGTGTGAAATTCTAAGGAAATTGCTTTATTGTTCGCTGATTGAAATCAATTTGGCGTGCGAACGAGATTTTCATATCACCCCAGATCCACAGATCTACAGTGATCCCAGTCCCGTGGATTTACTAAGACATTCCGGTTCAAGAGTTCATTAGGCTGAGCGGTTTTATGGACACAACTCGGCTCCGTCAATATGTATATGATTAGGATTGGGTAATAATCGCTGGGGAGGAGCTTTCGGTCCATCGAAGGTAAATGGGGATCAACGATTTGGCCAACTGTGATTATGGCTTGGCTTGGCAGAAAGTGCAGGCAATGAAGTGGCAAATGTTAGTCGGTTAGTCGGTTGGGTAATCCCGAGTCTGGTTAACCGTAATAACCATTGGGCGGATGGGAATTGGGGTCAGCTAGGTATTCCTCGAAATAGGTCCGGGGATCAAGGCGGGATTGTTAAGAAGTTCC